ACATAGTATGGCTAAAACCCTGTCCTTAATTTACCTGCTGTACGTGTGTATTTCCATGCATATGTTTTTGGAATCATTCACTTTTTGGAGAGCTCCACAATCCAACATGTGGGCCTGGTTTGAAATGATTAATTGTCATAAGTGGTGCTTTATTTTTGGAGAGACAGGATTAGGAAAGTAAATGGATCAGCAAGCTGGAAACAAAATGTCTATACCAGCTACAGTAAGGGGGAGCCATTTACAATGGACAAAATAATAGGCGGAAGGGCAGAAGCAGTTGGCCTGGGGGTGGGGGAAGCACATGAAGTCTTTGCCCACCGCTGTTTTGAACAGCTGGTGATTCCCTCTAGGTGCCGCGCGCCCCCGGGGGCAGGAGGAGACTTTGCGCATTCCCCCCATTCCCAGGTCTTGATTAGCCAGGGAGCGGCAGGGCAGCTATGAGCCATATCAACTGGCTTGGGGGTCCAGATCCAGCCCAGGGACGCTGTCTTGCCCACCCCTGATGTAGACACAGCATGCTGCACAGGCACTGGTTTCTACAAAGGAGCCAAACCAATTTCAAATCATGTAATACAATGGTATAGTAAATGCAATGCAATGGTGTGTATCTTTGGATGTGTGGTATGCCTTATATCCACCTCCGATACTTGAGTTTGATCAATTCAGTGTAGCTTTGCTATATGTTAGACAAAGGAAACTGAGTGACCAGACCAGAGTCAAACTGAATTCTTCAGAACTGAGTGGAAAACTTTCACAGGAACCCTAACATAACACTACAGAGTAAGGAAGGAATTCTTTTTCGTTCATATTTATGTGAGAGCTTTATGCCTGGTTAATTAGTAGGTCAGTACTTTAAAAAAACAAAAACAAAAAAAGAAGAAGCAGCAGCAGCCAAAACAGCCATGGAAAAAATCACTGTGGAGACAAAGCATGTCATGATTTCATGTAAAAAACATAGACTCATAGCAGAACCATCTTATGGCAGGGAAGGAACAGTGCAATAGGTTTCCTGGTAAGCAAAGTGGCACAAAACAAAACCATACCAAAACAAGACATTCCATTGAACACACTTATCTCTCTAGGGAGAGGATATGAGACTGAACACAGGAAAGATGTCAGTCACATTGCTTAATATAGTACAGGATACTGCTCAGATACTAGGATGATGAGAGAAGTATAAGAATCTTTTCTGCAGAACAGAAAAGAGAAAACCAAGCTCTTGTGTAAGACAGAAATGCTGCATTTTTCAACTAGGTACTAACCTCCTAATCTACAAGATGCTGCACCCCCTCCATTCCCACTGAATCCCACAAGGTTTGAGGACACTGGGGCTATGTCTAGACTGCATGCCTTTTTCGATAGAGGCTTTGTTGACAGAAACTGTCGACAAAGCCTCTGTCAAAAAAGAGCGTCTAGACGACGATCAGTAATGTTGACAAAGCAAGCTGCTTTTTCGAAAGAGTCTAAATGCTCTCTTTCCAAAAAGCACAGTTTGCATGCAATAGCGCCTTTTGTCAAAAGAGTACTTTTGAAAAAAGGCATTATTCCTCATAAATTAAGGTTTACCCCGTCAACAAAACTGTCGCATTCTGCCAACCTACTGTCGACAGAATGTGGCGGTCGTGTAGACACAGGTATAGTTTTGTCAACAAAAGCCAACTTTTGTCGACAAACCCTGTAGTCTAGACCCCCCCTAAGCCTCTTATAGAGGTAGACATCTCAGAATGTTTTAAAATGTTTCTTAGCTCTTGGAAGATGAATGTCTCTATGCACCATGCATCAGTTTGTCATTAGACAAGCTGCCAGTAATGTATATGGACAATGGTAATATTAAGTATGTATATAACTAAACACTTGTTTCCAATATCTCCATATAAAAAGAGATTGAAAACTGGACTGTTCAGTTTGGAAAAGAGAACTAGAGTGTAGGGGTGGGATTAGATAGAAACCATGCATGGTGTGGAGAAAGTGAATGAATAATTGTCATTTACCCTTCACATAACACAAGAACCAATGAAATTAATAGGCAGCAGTTTTAAAACAAACAAAAGAAGTACTTCTTCACTTCATCAGCCAGCAGATGTCAAGGCCAAAACTGTAACTGGGTTAAGAAAAGAATTAGATAAGCTCATGGTGGATAGGTCCATCACTGGCTATAAGCCAAGATGCTCAGGGATGTAACCCCATGCTCTGACTGCTACAAGCTGGCTCTGGATGACAGGGGATGCAGCACTCTAAAAATTGCCCTGTTCTCTTCACTCCCTCTGAAGCATCTCGCACTGGAAACTGATGGAAGAAAAGATACTGGGTCAGATGAACCACTGTTCTGACCCAGTTTGGCCATTCTTGTGTTCCTATAAAGTATTAACACTGTTCAGAGACAGTTTAAAATGGCAAACAATGTATTAAAGTGAGAGAATTATCTTGGAAGTATACTGTATATTCTCTTTTAGTACACAAGTGGTATTACAGAACCCCAAAATATGACTGATGGCTAATTTCACAACTTAACAAGTGAAACATTATACATCATATTCATCTCCCCTTTTCGTCACTGACATCCCTCAGCTGTGGGTCTTATATGAAATAATGGATGACTTAACACCAGAGAACAATCTGCAGAGACAGTGAGCATCGTAATTCATTTTGGACATATTACAGCGGATGAGAGATTTTCAACCTAATCTTGCTCAGCTGAGTCTCCCTGAACAGAGTTTAACCCATTCTTATTTTTATTACCATTTATTTGTATTACCATATTTTTTAAATGGAAAAGGAACTTGTTCCTTTTTGAACACACGGCTAACTGGTATTCATTCACTGTGATCGTTTGAGGGCAGCTTGAGTTCAAAGATGTTTGGTTTTGATAAAATGCTACTTCCAATGAAATAATAGATTGAACAAGTCAAGAGCTACAGTGCAATGTGACAGCTTAGTCTATCAATTTCTTCTTTGAAACAACCGTTGCAGTTGACACAAATATGTGCAGCCAGCAGAATTATTATCTTGAAACATACACATATTAGGGATGTGAAAGAGGTTAACAGGTTAATCAGTGGGGGCTGCTTCAGCTCCCCAGGACCCATTGCAGACAGAAGCACTCCAACCTGGCTGGAGCACCCCTGTTGCAGGGGGCTCCTCCAGATCAGCAGTGACAGGCAAGGGGACTGCTCCAGCATACCCAGGCTGGAGTGCACCGCCCTCTCTGCCCCCGTCCACTCCCTTTAATTGTTTAACTGGTTAACCAGAATTTTACATCCCTAATATATGGCTTTCTAGGGCCTAACAATCCTGATCCCACAAAAGTCAGTTTGGCCATTGAAGCTGTATGAAAAAACAAACCTGATATTCAGAAATTTAAAAGTATTACTTCAATTTGCCAGTTCTGTAGACACTTATGAGTATCCCCAAGTGACTGTACACAGATGTGTGTGCTTACTGACATGATAACGGGAACTTCCCAGTTGTATACACTGAGGAAAAAAAGTTATCCACAGTGGGTAGCAAAATATTCATCTGAAAATAACCATTTGAATAAATAATATAATGGACAAATCTAAAAAGTAAATGTATTTTGTAGCCATCTTTTATATTTTAGTTTACAATACCTTTTGGGGAACCTTTGAATGCATTCAGACACCAAAGAGGTATTATCTTTAAGAGCTAAATCCTGCATTACTCGACTACTCCAAGCTTCCACTGACTGCAGTTAGAAGTTTGTAGAGTGCAAGAAATGCAGGAGTAGTTACAAATGTACTATTGTCAGTACATTTTATAGTGCATAAATACCAAAAGCATAGACATTACACATCATAGAAGTCTACCGATTTCCAGATATGTAAACACAGTGCAATGCTATATTTAACAATGTGATACAAATTAACCACAATAAAACTATTAGTATTCCTTTTGCCTTTATACATATTTCTGCACCAAAGAGAGCGGGTTATGGGGGAAGGAAAGGCTGCAGGGAAAGAAATGTATTCAAAACGCCCCCCTGTGGCCCAAAAAGGTCTGAGAAACCAAATGATCTTCCGCATTGACGAAAGCAAAAGTAGAAAAAAGAAACTTTTCTCAGTGTGTCTGTTTGCAAAACAAATACATGATGCAAATTCAGATTTTGACTGACCTGAAATGACACCATCAAAATGGCTGGGGCTGTTAGACAAGGGATAGATGTTTGTCATACTTTCAAAAACTTCTCTTTTTTTAGTGTCCACCTCAGCAACATAAATAACTAATAAAGCAACATCGGTGTGGCATTGTGCAACAGAACACACCATCACCAACACACTCAAATATGTATGATTTAGCAGGCCTTTAGCTGTCTAGTTATTTATGATACCTACAAACACACACTCACTACATGTGTGTAGGTATAAGTAATCTATTACATATTCATATTATAATATACATACATTGCCATAAATGTGCACGATACTTTGCAGAAAAATAAAAATACAATGTCCATGACCTAGAGAGTTTAGGCTGATTAACGGAAAGCAACTTGACCTTAAAATACTCTTTTCAATTCTAAAAGCTTATTGATTAATAATTTTATCAGAGATATACACACAGGCAATTTGGAAGTTTAAGGCCATTTTTATTAACAATGATATAAGGAGGATCTTTAAGTCTAAACAAGGAAGGTTTTCAGGCACTTAGAAGTTGGGTTTACTTTACAAATGCTTTATCAGATTTTAGATCTCAACACACATCAACCCTTTCAAAAAGTTTAATTTCTAAATTATTGCAACCAATACTTCAATGACAGTGAATTCACTACACTTATTTTTACTTATATAAGATCTCTTTATTTTACAATGGAAGTGTGCTATTCTAAGCCAGTCACAGATGGAAAAAGTTCATTGTATAAAGAAAAATGACTTTGTATAATAAACACTGAATAACTAATATTTATCTAACCTCCCTTTGAGCCATCATTTGGGGTGGGGGACATAACTTAATGCAGTATAAGTATTATTAGTGAATGTACCTACCTCTTCAACTGTCAAAGGCATACAGATCCGGTACTCCTTCAAGAGCATATTTCTGCTGCCTTTATGCAAACCAGCAAATCTGGAGAAGAGCAGTTATTTCTGCACTCTGATCACGGCAATAGCACAACAACAGAAAAATGAATCAAGACTCGTGTCCTGTGTGTACTTGACAATGTGTTCAAAAGAGCCCAACACTACCATCCAGAAGGAATGATCCACAAGAAGAAAAATCAATAGAGCTGCTCCTTTCTTCCAGTTCTTCCTCCTTCAAACTGAGATCATGTGAATTTCACACATATACATACACACAAAGAAGTCTCAAACATCAAATGCGATCTTTAGAGTCAAAGACATCCACTGGAAATGTATTAAAATGACAGTTCCTTTTCAGCTATATCAAGACATGCCTGGAGCAATCAAAAAATCCCCTCAAAACAAAAACAAAATAAAAAACCCCCAAAACAATCAGTCTAAAATATGAAAGTCACCACCAGCAGCACATTGGAACAGTGGCAACACAGAGGATGAGATGCTTACTTCCAAGACAAAGGCTTTATAACGTTTCCTTTCCAGGCTGACAAACAAGGCTCCCTCCTCCTCTCTGTAATACAGCTGCTATTATGCACGCACCAGTTCTGCAGTTGTGGGGAACAGACTGGACCTGCTGCCTGATATTTCCCCACACATACACCTTTGATCCTTCCTGGGGCTTGGGTTTTCCCCACCAAAGCTGTGTGTGTGAGAGCTGTAGCTGGCAGAACTGAGGAGTCTCTGCAGCAGCAGCCTCAGCTCCGGTCTGAGTGTGTGTCTGACATCAGCAGCCACAGCAGGAAGGATGGCCCCATCCGGCCAATGGGGAAATGGCACAGCAAAGAATGTGGAGGATTTAAACAAAACAGCATGTCTCTCCTAGAGCGCCAGCATCCAGCAAGCAAAGTGAAGAAAGCTTGCAAGTGGACAGCAGAGAGCAATGAAATCTGGGAGGGCACAACTGGTTCTGTTTCATTGCAGAATTATTTTGGGTCATATAAGAATTTGTAAGTAGGAGTAGTGGGATGAAACTGAATTTGGGGGAATTAGGAGGAACAAAAGCTATTTAGGCCATGGTATTGGCTTCCAGGGGGCATGAAGGAAATTACAGAAATATGGAATTATTCCATTTTACCTTTTCTTAGCACTTTTTAATTTCAGCACACTTTACAGGGATAGGATCCTGACTTCACAGAGACTGCCCAGGCTGCCCTTGGCTGTGTGATGGTTTGCAGAATCAGGCCATATTATTATTATTATTAAAGAAACTGCAAGATGGCCTTTGGGAACTGGTGCAATATGCACAAAGGTGATATAATAAACATAGGATGTACTAGCCTCACCCACTTCCCTTTTAGTTAGTCCTTCATTATATAGCTGCGTGCTTTGCAACTTGGCTAAAACTGTTTTTCACATCAATCACCTAACTTAAAACAGTAGCATGGAAAGGTCAGTGCAAATGTGTTCCTCATTATTATTTTAGTCATAACAGCAGATCCCATTATAAAAGGCACATTTTTCCATTGTATGTGAAGTGGCAACCATCTGATTAACCCTTAAATTTGCCTGGTTTTTTAAATGTATTTTTTCAGTCTCCTTTAAGGGTATAAAGCTAATGTCAACATTATGGCTTAGTGTACACTGCAGGGTTTTTGTGCAAGAAGCCTCTTACACGAGTTCTTCCGCAAAAACTCTTGCGCAAAATCATGTCCAGACTTCAAAGCACATCACCAAAGCGATGTGCTTTTGCACAAGAGAGCATCTACACTGCATGGACACTCTTGTGCAAGAAAGCTCTGATGGCCATTCACAGGATGGCCATCAGAGCACCCGTGCTTTTGCTGATAGGGGTTTCTTGAGCAAAAACCCCTCTGGAGCGTCCACAACTGCCTTTCTGTAGCGCAAAAAGAAGTTATTCCTCATGGGGAGAGGAATAACTGTATTGGAAAAAGCTCTCTGTTCTATTAATTTACTTGCGCAAAAACGTGCTTGAGATGTGGACGCTCCACCAGTTTTTGCACAAAAACTGCTGTTTTTGCACAAAAACCTTATAGTGTAGACTTAGCCTAACAGTAATGTTAATGTACCGTATTTTCTGGCGTATAAGGCGACTGGGCGTATAAAACGACCCCCTAATTTTCTAGTTACAGAGGACTACCCCCCTTAAAAGGCCAACCAGAAGGTGGATGTATAACTCTGCTATCGGTGCAAGTGAATAAATCAGTGTTTTATTTGCTCCAGTAGATGGCACTATGTTTCCTTTGGGCTGAGGTTGCCTATAGGCTCAATGCCAAAAAGGAGCTGAGATTTTTCAGTCTCTCATTACAGCATACCTATGTCGTTTTAGACCTAAATGTATCCCATCACTCAAAAACCTGATATTGCGACACTTTTTAAAATTGTACATTATTGACATTAAAATGCAAAATAGCAGGAATAGTACACTACTACTTACAACTTATGTGACGCTATATTTTCACATTATTCTCACAGTACTTCTTTGAGATAGGTAAGTACACTTATTCCTATTTTACAGGTAGGAAAACTGAGGTACAGAATTTAAGGCCACAGCTTCACAGCCAGTATTAGAATTCAAGAGATTCTTGGGTACCGTATTTTCTGGCGTATAAGACGACTTTTTATGCTAAAAAACATCCCCCCAAAATAGGGGGTCGTCTTATACGCCGGGGCTTTTCTCGCCCCGGAGGACACAGACTGCAGGACCTTGTGGTCCCGCCGCCCGTGTACTCCGGGGTGAGAAAAGCTGCTCCGCGTCTCCCTGGTCTGCAGACCAGGAAGACGTGGAGCAAAGCCGCGGAGGGGCTCCGGCAGCCCAGGGGCGCCTGGGCTGCCCCACTGCCCGAGCCCCTCCGCGGTTTTGCTCCGCATCTTCCTGGTCTGCAGACCAGGGAGACGCGGAGCAGCTTTTCTCACCCCGGAGTACACGGGCGGCGGGACCACAAGGTCCTGCAGTCTGTGTCCTCCGGGGCGAGAAAAGCCCCGGCGTATAAGACGACCCCCTATTTTGGGGGGATGTTTTTTAGCATAAAAAGTCGTCTTATACGCCAGAAAATACGGTACCCAAGAATCTCTTGAATTCTAATACTGGCTGTGAAGCTGTGGCCTTAAATTCTGTACCTCAGTTTTCCTACCTGTAAAATAGGAATAAGTGTACTTACCTATCTCAAAGAAGTACTGTGAGAATAATGTGAAAATATAGCGTCACATAAGTTGTAAGTAGTAGTGTACTATTCCTGCTATTTTGCATTTTAATGTCAATAATGTACAATTTTAAAAAGTGTCGCAATATCAGGTTTTTGAGTGATGGGATACATTTAGGTCTAAAACGACATAGGTATGCTGTAATGAGAGACTGAAAAATCTCAGCTCCTTTTTGGCATTGAGCCTATAGGCAACCTCAGCCCAAAGGAAACATAGTGCCATCTACTGGAGCAAATAAAACACTGATTTATTCACTTGCACCGATAGCAGAGTTATACATCCACCTTGCCCTCCTTTTGCACAATGGTAAACAGCTACACGGAGAATCAAAGCTTTAGGAATTTTACATAGATTTGTGTCTCTCCGTACTTCAGATTCTCAGCTTAAACGTGAACAACGCACTGCATTTTCTCCATATCAAATGAGTCTGCTATGTCAAACCTGGCAAACCATCTGTAAATACCAAGCTGTAGTCACAATTTATATCAATGGTTCTCAAACGGTGGGTTATGATCCCATTTTAATGGGGTCAATGGGGCTGGCTTAGGCTCGTTGGGGCTCAAAGCCCAAGCAAAAGCCTCAACCATATTATCTGGTGCCGAAGCTTCAGAACTTTATCCAGGGGTGACAGGGCTCAGTTTACAAGCCCTCTGTCTAGGGCGGAAGCTGTTGGGCTTCGGTGTTGGTCTCCCTGCTTGGGACGGTGGGGCTTGAGAGGGCTCAGGTTTTGGTCTCTCCACTTTACGTCATTTATTAATTTTTATTGTCAGAAGAACATCACAGGACAATGACATTTGAGAACCCGATTTGTGTCCTTGGTGTTGTACGCCCAGGGAAGCTTGTCCCCAAACCATATAATCTAATTTATTGGTGTCAGTAAGTAAGGGCTCAGTCCTACAACTCTGAACCTTACTACCTTGTAAAGAACTTACTCTGACAGTGGATGAGAGGTAGGAATGATAGGGTTAAAGGGTCCAGTCATATAAAAATAAATGCATTATAAAGTTGCAAAATGCCAGAAAGGAAACCAATCAAATAGGATTACATTCAGAGCAGTCATCAAGAGGACTATACCTGGGACATTACCTCTAATTTGGAAGAGACTCGCTACGTAATCTTAAAACAAGGGTAACAACATACCTCTTTTGAAGTTAATGGGAGTGCTGCTACTGGCTTCAACTGGAGCAGGATCAAGCTCCTTAACTTTTTGTGTCTCAGATCCCACTGGAAAATTAGGTTGAAATTGGTTTGCCATTGAAAACCACATGCTGTTTCTGAGCTGAACATTTCTGCATAAAACTGATCCCACCACTGCATTTCAATGAGTCTAGGATCAAGCCCTGAATTTATTTACTACCTTCGACCACAAACTAAACAAACATAACAGTCCCATTTAATACACCATAGCCAGGGTGGCTGACAGAATTTCCAGCAAGGCGGGGAAGGGTGGCTCTGCACTCCCAAAAGGAGCAGGGTCTTGAGTGGAAGGGGTAGAGGTGGGGGCAGCCAGCTCTCAGCAGTGCCCAGATCATGCCATGCTGCATCCAGCCCTTCGCACCACCCAGACCTCACCACCTGGGGCTCAGGCAGTGATTTAAAGGACCCAGGCTCCAGCTGCAGACTCCTGAATCACCAGGCCCCTGGATAGTTGCCTCCTTTGTCCTCCCCCACCCCACATCAGCGGGCCTGACCATAGCAAAACACTTTCTCACAATGCAGTAGGCCAAATTCAGAAAGTATGTGAAGTGCTACCCAACACGGGCCCACATGCACATTGCAAATATAACATTACTGTACAATGTATTCTGGACTACAGAAGCCAGCAACAGATCTTTTTGCCTGGACTATGTTCAGACCATGTGATGTTTACACATAAATATCTCATCTCTGCCCACTAGGCTCCACCCCAGAGAACATCTCAAGTGCTAATGTTTCCAAAGGCCTTACCAAACTCTTTTGGGGGCAGAATAGAAGAGAAAATGACCACTTGAAGTTGGGCAGGAATTTCTGCTTGAAGTGGTGTCTCCCTAAATTTGGTCCCATACTTTTTGTGATCAAAACATATCACTCAGACTTACCTCTAAGTTCACCAAGCACATCCTGAAATACAGCATGCTGTGTATGTGATAAGTGAATAATTTCTTATCTTCATAGCTAATTCTCCATTTTTGCTCTAGGAAAAAATATATATTGGTTAAAGCTGCTAGACACGAAACATAGCTGGGACTTCTGGTACAGACAATGAAAATCAAACTATCTTTTCACTTTATTGGCTAATGACTACTGAGTTAACAAATTAGCCTGCTGGATCCATGCAGGAAGTCAAATGTTTGACAAACGCTGTCCTCTGGTCTCAGAATGGTGGATTTGGCAGGATATCTTCCTCAAATTCTAAAGGAAGATAATCTTGGTATGAATTAATTTTCTTCCCTTTCCCTCTAAGGCCTGATCCAGAGCCACTGAAGTCAATAAAATAAAAGCCTTTCTATTGACTTAATTAGTTTTGGATGAGGTACTTGGTTCCCTGAAAGCTCTCTCTCACTAACCATTGAGTCTAAGGCTGTGCCTAAGAGGAAGTATTTCTTCACATAATGCAGTCAACCTGAGGA